CTCCCTCCACTCAGTTTCCCGTTATATTAAATATAATGCTGGCTGAGGAATACTTCTGCTGAGGAACAGGACATTTCTGCTTACCCACAGGGTGCAAGATCAGGCAATAACAGGAGCAGGCAGCACTGCCTGCCCAGCCCCATCTGTCTGCCCATCTTCCCTCCCTGAGCCCCACCAGCTCCCGCAAGAAGCTCTAAATGTGATACCAGGCTGGAAAAATCGAGCATCCCTAGTTAGTTAGAGCATGCCGCGACCGCACCGCGCGCTGCCAGGGCCGGCAGCTGGTTGTCGTTAAACGCCGGGGAGTGAGGACATCCGCAAGTGTCATTAGCTGGGGATGGGGCGGATGGGGACAGGTCCCTCCCTGAGCCCCACCAGCTCCCGCAAGAAGCTCTAAATGTGATACCAGGCTGGAAAAATCGAGCATCCCTAGTTAGTTAGAGCATGCCGCGACCGCACCGCGCGCTGCCAGGGCCGGCAGCTGGTTGTCGTTAAACGCCGGGGAGTGAGGACATCCGCAAGTGTCATTAGCTGGGGATGGGGCGGATGGGGACAGGGACAGGTCTCGTGGCAGGGGCTCAACAGGGCTGTGAGCAGGGGCTGACTGAGAGCTGCTTGGTTTCGCTGCAGCTGGGCGAAGAGCCTCCCCTACCTGGAAGCTTCTATTTTAAATGCAAAGTAACATTTTATTTGGGGTTCCCGGGCCAAGTGGGGAGCCCACAGTGCCCTTTGCTTCAGAGTGCAGCGACCAGCCCCAGCAAGAGGAGGGGAAGGAGGGAGAGCCAGATTTTGTGCTGTGGCTTCACATGTGCATAACTAAAAAGCTGGAGTTGGCCAGCCTCTCTCCCTCCGTTGGACGAGGGCAGCTTAATCAGCCCTGGCTTTGCTGCTGCTGAACAGACGAGAGGTTTTGGGAGTCACAAGAGGTGAGAGCACAACCACTCCCCACCGCCGTCGCCCGTCCTGGGCGATGCTCCCCATCACGCATGTCTCCTCGGTGGTTCGCTGCCGCCCGCTGAGCAAACACTATGATCTTATTAAAGGGAAATGAAACGCAGCTCGGAAACCTGCATTTAAAGTCACACTGCTCTTTTGTGTGTTAATTTGACACTGGTGCATTTAAAAAATTAATGAGGCACTGCTTAAAAGCCAGCGGGAGCCTCTCCCAGCTTCCCCTCGGTGTGGGACAAGCTTGCTCTCAGCCTGCCTCTTTCCATGCACAAGTTGAACAACATTTTTCAGCGGGCAGGTAATGGGGCTGCTGGTGCGTACGCTGCGCAGCCTCCCCGGGGACAGCGCTGGCAGCAGCTCCTGCAACACACCCACATTGCTGCTAGAGCAGGACAGCCCAAACCCGGGGGGACTTCAGATCCTGGGTGAGCGATGCAGGATGGAGAACCAGCACGAGAAGGTCTCCTGGATCCCCAGATTCCCCCTATATCAGTTCTGCATCCCCACAATCTGGGCCAGCTTCAGCCCTTCATGAGGCAAACCCAGGCACAGCCCAAGAGCAAGGACTTGTCGCTGCCACCCCACTCGGTGCCCAGCTCCTCGCACAGCTGGTGCCCTGGGACAGTGGCAGCAATCAGCCCTGCCTTTCCGTTAGCCTCTTTCTTACACATTTCTCCAGCCTAATGAATGATTTCCCATGTGACATCTCCTTAAAATCCCTTCTGTAACCCAGACAGAAGCTCTACCCCACCCAGTCCATCTCACAAGCCCGTCTCCTTACAGGTAAAGAGGCCGGGTTCATTTGGTGCCCTCCACTGCTGGGAAACGCCTGGGGTCAAGCCCCAGCTCTCCTCCTTCCTCTGCTGCTCTCCAGCCATGTGTGAGCTGACGGATGAAGCACCTGTCCTTGTCCCTGAAGCTGCCATCCCCCAGGCTGCAGGCAGAGGATGGGCTGGTCCCCAGGACTTGACATCCCAGCACTCTGGGAGTCTTGTCCCCATCTCATCGTGGTCATTACCCTGCTCAGTATCACTCTGCATGGCCCCGTCACTCTT